GGTTAATAATGGTAATAAATCGTTGTTGTAATTTTTATTAGCCTCATTTTTTAAACAAGATCTTATTGTTTATTGTTTTTGGATATTTTGTTGTTGTATAGTATTTACTATAGTATATTGTTTTATTTTGGCAACTGCTGTAACATTTTAGTGATGAATCGTTTTATTAAAATCACAACTTCCAATTTTTTTTGTTTTAACATTGGAAATATATTTACTTATTTATTTATTTTTAGTTTAGCAAATCGCATTACGTAGATTTTTGACCATGCCTTTCGAAGTTTCGAAATCGATGAAAAGAAAATGATTTCAGTTTTTAACTTTAATGAAATTAATGAAAAATCTCATAAATAATTTTTCTTTGTGAGCAATAATGGCCAGCGGCGTCACAAGTGATGAAGTAATAGTAATAAAATATATTTTTTTTAAATATATTTCTTCTATGTACGACAGTACTACTTTTGCTTGTATTGTTATTAAATACAAAAAGTTAGTGGACAAGTTTTTAATTTTTGAGACCATATATATAAATATTAAAATAAGTTTCCTTACTTCTTGCTTTGTTGTCTACAATAGTTTGTGGATAGTATTTTTGTTTCTTATGTTGTGGGAGGTGATTTATGAGCTCACAAATAAGTTATGCCCCGCTTTTCTTTCCTAGTAAAAATTACCGGCAAATGTTGGGGTTAACATTAGTAAACAAATGAATCCGGTGTTGATGAATTACATTTGGCAATTTAACGTTTTACGTTTACACTTTCAATTTCTTTTTCATTTTTGCAGTAACTGTACGAGTATTCTCTAATATTTATACTCGCGATTTTTTATTTGCTTTTTCATTATTTTGTTAAAAAGAAGAAATATTATTTTTGACTTTGATTTATGCCAATTTATGCAAATGTTGTTTATTGTTTTCGAACTTGAAAAAGACTTCGGCGTCAAAATTATTGACTAGGCCCCTTCTTCTTCATCTAGTGTAAATAAAAAAGTAAAAGTGCTTTCATCTAAGATTCACAGTTTTCTCAATTCCTAATCAACTGTACTGGGAAAACATTATTGTATAATTTAAAATACCAGTCAAAAAAAAAAACTTAATCTAAGAGTTAATTTATTACTAAGTACTCTTAATTTTCATTAATTTGTTGTTTTTGTAGTTATTATATTTTATATCTTAACAAATTTACATTTGCATTTGTCACAGTTTTTATCTATATTAATTTCGTCAATATTTTTTTTGCTTTTATCGTTGCAGTTTTATCTGTCACCGTTTCGCATTCCCATGGTAATGTGCTTTGGCTGCATTCACTATTGCAAGACAAGCATTAAAAAGTTGCAGTCATAATTGTTTGAAATTGCAACTGCAACAACTGCACCGGTGAGTGAGTGATTAAACATATTTTTTAAACATTTTTTTTCTTTTATGATTATCGACGAAATTTGTTTGTAATTTCCATTTTATGGCAATGGCTCATAAAAGATATAAAAAAAAGTGCAACGCTTTATTTAACGCATCTGTGTTTGTGTTAAGAGTGTATCTCAAAATGGCTAATAAGTTGGTCAATATGATAAATTGCTGATTTTATACATGATCGAGCATACAATGCTGGATCGTCGAAGTAATGTGATGTGTGTGTATAATTCAATCGATTTGATTTCTGCTTCATATATTATATTTTATATGTATTTAAATGTTAGATGCGATCAAAGGTTAACTTCTTTGCTGGCAAATTGATTTTGAAACGAGTTTTAAAAGAAAGTTGAGGTGGGATTAAGCAAAAATATCTCTGTAATCTGTTTTTAGATAAAACTAATGCAATTTCCTTTTCAGAATTTTGTTTTATAAAAAAGTTTTTTTTTTTGTAATAAAAAACTAATTACTAATAAGTGATTAATAAGTAATTTTAATTGATGCTTATTTCTTTATTTATTTATTTAATTAATATGTCTTAATTAATTTTTGATATGTCTTCTGAAGTACAATAAATATAATTGATGATTAACTGTTACACGAACTAAACTTCTGAATGAATGGAACGATATTTTGATGGGCAAAATTTTACTTACATTTTTAGAATCCTATAAACTAGTTTATCGTATGAAAATTCTATTAAATACTCTATTCAGTGGTTTCATGATCCATGCGAAAACTAAACTGTTTTCCAGAAATAATTTTAAGATTAATGTCAATCTTAGATGAAATAACCTTTTAAATATTTTAGACAAAAGAAAAGATTATTTTATGGTACGAAATGACAAATCCTGAATGCTGTAAAACAAATAGGCCCTCCCATAGACTCATTTGTTTTTAATGACTGTATAGATTATTTTAACGTAAACCACCTGGTTTCGTTTTATGATTATATCACAAGAATCTTTGTTTCTAGTTTATATATGGGTCAAACGTATAGCGTCTAAAAATGCTTTACTGCTTATTGGATAAACTTTAAATTTGAGAGGTTTAATTAGATACCGAAGAGTATCTGCTTTAATATTATCTGATAGCGTTTTAAATCTATTTGTTAGAACTTGCTGAAGGCTGTTATTAAAATGTTGATTTGAGAATTAATATGTTATATTAATACTATGATATATATTAAAGAATATTTATTCTTTAAATGGTTATATCTGATAATTTACTAGATTTAAAAAATTTACATACTGTTTTAATAGTATCGAAATTTAACAATTGAAAATAAAATTATAATTAATTAATTAAT